GAAAACCCGGAAAATATTTTCCGGGAGAATATTTTCCGCCAAACGAACGGAGCCTTAGAAGAAATCATACCTTTTGCGCCTTAAATAACGGCCATTTTCACAGAAGGAGGACATAATACAGCTCCCTTCATTATGGGGCCTAGTTCCATAAAAAGCTTCCCAACTTTATGTCAAATCCCAATTCTGCTCCGAATTTTTCTTTTTGTCTAAATAAAATCCTCAACTTTCACTATAGTCTTAGATATACCCACGCGTCCAAGAACCATTATTAGTTTTTTCAAAATTATCAACATCCCACGTCTTCATCAACATCATCACTTTTGTATGGAATAATAACAGTCTCCTGATGTTGATAATCACGAAGAAACCAACAGCAATTTTTGGGCACGTGAGCAAACTTGGGACTACATTGAAAGTTTGAGATTTTTTTTAGACAAAAAAAAGGTTAGGGATAGAATTGGAATTAGATCTAAAGTTGGGGTTTTCTAACGGAAATAGGCCATCATTCTAGTTAACTAATTGAGACAACTACTATAATTGGGATTAGATTTTGTTGTTGTATGATAAACCAATGCAAATGTTTTACTTGAGAACCTTTCGATATTTAAAAGAATTAGAGATTCCTCACACTTTTTTGACTTTAGATACTTTCATTTCTAAAAATACAACTTTAGATCCTGAAATTTTATAAAACTGCGTATTTATCTATGGCATTATCATTTCTCTTCACATCCCTACCTTTTTTTGTAACAATCGGTTTGACGAGGGCAAAGAGTGGACACTGGGGCTAGAGGACTCGGACAAGGAGCAGCTCTTGGCAGGCTTCTAGGATGATGAAAGAGTAAAAATGAACCGAATTGCACACCGAACGGAGGGAGAGCATGCTTGGAATATAATTGGAATTAACTTAAGGATGTGCCTTTTAACGGAATGGCTTTTGCTTTATAACTCTAAAGTTAAGCATGCTAAGGCTATAGCACTACCAAAATGGGTGAAATCTAGGGAAAATGCCTACTTGTACACCAAATGACAAACCTGTGAGGCTCGGTTTGGGACTGGCCAAAATAGATAATACCTCGAGTGAGTTAATTCAATGATGTCGCATCTTTTGCCTACCCACCAAAAACCCTAAGTCACAAAACTCTAACTCTAATCCTCATGGTAACCGTCATAGCACCTTGCAGCCATCACCAACACCAACATTTGCGCCACTCGCCATGGCAACCACATCCTACCATCAATGGGGGTCGCAGGCCTCTAGGCGCTCATGAGCCCTCGCTGTGGCTAGAGAGGGCGTCGCGGCCCTTGATCGCCCTTGCTGTTGGCCAGCAAGGGCTTAGGCACCCTTATTGGCCATATCGAGGGGGCACCCTTGTTAGCACTAGCCCGGAGAAGAAGAAGAAAATAATAATAATAATAATAATAATAAAAAAATCTTAATAATTGTCCACATAGCCCCGACCATGTCACGTAGGATGGACGGCGTTGACTGGACTACCACATTAGTGATTTCCAACCAAAATTAGTCGAAAAGACTGCATTGGCAATTTGTTAAAAGATTTATGATTAAATTGGCAAATCCTCAAAAGGTTTACAACTGAATTTGTAAATTGTTAAAAAGTTTAGGACTAAATTGGCATAATTGAAAAGTTTAGAATTGAATTGATCGCTGTATAATAGGTTTATGATTGAATTCCCGCTGATGCTATGAATAAAGTTTAAAGAAAAAAGGTACATCTTTTACCTATCATTTTTCTTAAAGGCTCTCTTAAGTCTTGACTAGAAAACTGTAAATATGCAAATTTCTAAAATAGTCGGATTTTGGAGCTTTTTTTCCTTTTCTCTTTATTGAATTTGGGAGGTAATGATGATAAGGATGATATTTTTTCATGGGTGGCACATAAGGGCATATTTGTTATTTAAACTAATATACAGTCTTATCAAACAATTGACAAAATAAAAATGATACTATACTGCTTTATTATTATGATTCACCAAACAGTGAATATGATATAACAAAATCCCTCGACTACATATTATATCCAGTTATATCCTGAATAGAGATGTAGACAACCAAATACAGTCTAAGGTTTGACTGCTATAGGAAATAATGGGTGATTTAGGATTAGGAATTTTTGGGTGTTTTTTTTTTATGAAATGAGAAATCAATATATGATTTGAGATGCAAAGTTATAGTCGTAGAAATAAAGAATGGGGCTAAGTACAGTTTTTCCCTCTAAGTTTCATTATTTGGTGCAATTTGATCCTTTAATTTTTTTTCCACGTACTAAAATTCTCAAGATCTTTTTATTTGTGCAATTAAGTTCTTACTCAATTATCTTCACTAACATCGCCGAATTAGTGATGAAACATCATTGAGGCGACATATATTGGACGCATTGTTCTTTGTGGTGCCGATTAAGTGTATGTTAGAATAATTAAATATTAAATTACACATTCATGTAATAGCTTAAGTTTTTAAAATAATTGGCAGTGGTCCCAAGAATTATTACAAGATATCAAATCAGGACATCCTAAGTTCAAATCTTTCCAGACCCCTATTTGTCTCTCCAATTGCATATTTCCATTCTTTAAGCTACGGCCAAAGTCCAGCCTACGCGTGAGGAGGAGTGTTAAAGTATTTAAATTGTAAATCATGCCTTCATCTAACAACTTAAGCTTTTAGAACAATTGACAGTAATCCCATAAAATCTTTCACATGGTATCATAGCTAGAGATTCTGATTTCGAATCTTTGCCAAACTAATCGTGAGAAGGAGTGTTAGAATAATTAAATATTAAATTACGCTTTCATTTAACAACTTAAAATTTTTAGAACAGTTGGCAGTGATTCTATAAAATCTCATATTATATCAGAGCTGGAAGTCCCGAGTTTGAATCTTTCCAGGCCCCATTTGCCTTCCCAATTAAATGTTTCCACACTTAGTACTAGGCTAAAAAAGACCAAACTAAGCTTTTATAACTCATAGACAGGGCCTACTTAGCCACCGATGAGGGTCAGTTGATTCTTTGTAAACTCATAGAGGGATTTGACAAGCCATGCTATGCTTAAATGAGCGAAGATCATCGAATGTCACGAGGTGAGGGAGGGAGACTGTCGCTTCTACCAACTATCACTTACAAAAGGCAAGGGTCACGAGATCCTCGCTTTCTGCAAGCGAAGGTTGCCAAGGGCGTCGCTTGCCCCGGCAAGGGTTAAGGACTCTTGTTAAGGGTTATATTGAGCTGGGACGTCTTTATCGTGGGCATGCTGACACACACACATATATTCTCTCTCTCTCTCTCTCTCTCTCTCTCTCTCTCTCTCTCTCTAGCACGATAGTGGTTGTCGTATCTCTTTTCTTCACCAAACGAGGGTCGTCGGACCCTTGTCGTTGCCGGGGCGGGGGGGGGGGGGGGGTGGTCTCTCCCTTTTCCCTCTAGGGTTTTCTATACTATTTTGCTTATTGTTTATTGATGTGGTCCTTATTTGGTGAATTTAACGATATAATTTAGAGAACGTGATCGATAGGAAGGACTTGATTATCCAAATCGTAACCAATAGAGGACTTCTTTGCATAATAATAAAATAAACGGGGCTGAATAAGAGAACAAGGAGGGTTAGAAATGGTTATTGAACCAATTAGTAAGTGACAAATTATATGGCATTACTTGATACAAAAAATTTGAATCCCCTAGGAGAATCAAAGTTTATCCTCCCTAAAATGATGCAAAGACTATAGAATATAAATGGCAAAATGACATAAACGGTCCCTGAACTTTAACCAATGTGTAATGTGATCCCTGAACTTTTAATTCATTCGATATGGTTCCTAAACTTTTATTACATGTTCATACTAGAACCTGGACTATATGAAAGTGTTCGATGTGGTCCATGAACTTTTTATTCGTTCAATATAGTCCATGAACTTTTGGTACATGGTCAAACTAGTCCATCTAGTATATGAAAATGTTCAATATTGACATTCCATTAATTTAAGTTCACGAACAACGTCGAACATTCCATATGGTCAAGGGACTAATTTGAACATATACCAAAAGTTCATGGACCATATTGAACGAATTAAAAGCTCATGAACCGCATTGAATATTGAACTAAACATAAAGACTACATTAAACAAATTTAAAGTTTGAGGGTCATTTTGCAAATTGGACCAACGTTCAGAGACTATTTGTGTCATTATCTCAATATAATAATCTAGAGACAAGCCGTACTTGACAGATGAATGTGGAAGCAGAAGAACCTCCATTTCATATTCATAACTCAATTCTTGCATTCGAGGATCAATCTCTCAAAACTAAGACTGTGTAGATACGTAAGGGCCAGGCAGCTTAGCTTTAGTCAGTTAGTCACTCCAAATATGCATCTGCTCTTTAGGAGAATCTCTTGTAATCCTTAGAAAGAAGAAGAGATTCCGTGTCAGCATTCCACAAGTAAGAACATTTCTTGATATCGTTTGAGGATTGTCGCCACAGCAACAAGCATGCGCTTGTCTGTGACAAGACTACACAGAATCCCAGTGACTTCCACTACTTTCACATTGGTAAATGATTGGAGCATATCGTGTCTGTCATAACAGAAGCTCCCACGCATGCCCCAACTGGCGCCAACCCCATTGAAAATTGCAGCATTAGGCTCAACCTAATCATGTCCCATTTCATTGACCCACAGAAAAAATTGACTCAAATCTGTTTTTTCAGCCATCTCTGCAAAACAAAGGAGACATGGAGGTGAAGAAAGACCCTTTTCATATGTGGGTGTTGGGTCTCCCACTCATGACGTTGCTTTAGGCAGCACGAAAAGCAAGCAGAAAAATCCATGGAAAAGGTTGAAAAGAAAGCTCCAAAAAGATAAAAAGCAAAAGAGAGCTTTTCTCCTTTTAATATGTGGTCTCCTGATAAAAAGCATCCGATGCTTCTTCCACTCCCACTAATTCCAGATCTCTCTCTCTCTCTCTCTCTCTATCTATCTAAAATCCAAACAGAGAGAGACACAAGCTTTGACTTTCGAACCATGTTTCTTTGTCCTACCCAAGTAGATTACCACATTAGAGCCGGAATAGAAGAAGCTTCGGGATTTGATCAGAGGAAGCCCAAGCCGAGGACAGCAAACATTAAGAAAAGTGGTGAGAATCACCCCCACACGAAGTTTTTACATTTCCAAGCACAAACAGATATGCAGTTCTTTTTTTTTTAAACTTTAGCCATTATGATAAGCATTCATGGACGGAATTAATGGGCCTGGCGCTTGATGCAGGGCAAGGGGTTTCCCTTGGAAGTCAACCCTGAGGAAGAGCCCTTGCATTGCATTTGGTGAAAATTCCCATTCACCAGTCGTCACCATTAAGTCATTTCCCAGGAAATTTAATGTACTTATAAGGATCTCATCTAGAAAAGGAGCTATATAAGGACAACAGTATAGTTACAGCCAAGAAAAATCTTCTCCCTCATTTAGTAGAGTTTTGGTCACTCTTTTTGAAATCTCACCTCGCTGTCACCATTTATTTCTTCCACTTCACCCCACATTGAACTCTCTCTCTCTCTCTCTCTCATATTTGACTTGCAGGTCCTTCCCTCCGGGATAGGTAAATTGCAGAGAGTCAGCCTCTCAAGCCCTCTGCACATCTTCCACATCTACACAAGAGCACAAAGACCCTGACTTTTCTAGAGAGAGAGAGAGAGAGAGAGAGAGAGACTCCCTTTTTTCGTTTGCCAATTTTCATTAGATTTTCCCCGCAATTTTGATGGGAATCTAGAAATTTTCTTGGAGAGTTTTACCACGAGAAATCATGGATTGGGTACTCCATGAATCATCATCATCTTCTTCTTCTTCCTCTCAACGACCCTACTTTCACCTCCAGCAACCACCACCACTAGCTCCCACTTCTTCTCACTCAGATGACTTGAGCTTGGGCAACAGAGTCAGCCCAAGCATCCTCCTGATCATCATCATCCTCGCCATCATCTTCTTCGTATCCGGCCTCCTGCACCTCCTGGTGAGGTTCCTCATGCGGCCACCGAGTACGCTCAGAGACCCGGAGGACCCGGACGGCGTCACCGCCCTTCAAGGCCAGCTCCAGCAGCTCTTCCACCTCCACGACGCAGGGGTCGACCAGTCGTTCATCGACACCCTCCCTGTCTTCTTCTACAAAGCCATCATCGGGCTCAAGAACCCCTTCGACTGTGCAGTGTGCCTCTGTGAGTTTGAGCCTGAGGACAAGCTGAGACTGCTCCCCATGTGTAGCCATGCCTTTCACATGGAGTGCATAGACACTTGGCTCTTGTCCCACTCCACTTGCCCTCTGTGCCGAGCCAATTTGCTGCATGATTTCCCTCCCGCCCACATTGGTTCCCCCATTGTTCTCGTTCTTGAATCGGGGAGTGAGAGCTCGAGGGAGCTCGTCGGCCGCACGAATTCCGGCCTTGGAAGAGCTAATTCGGCATTGAGGACCGATTCCCATCTGGGTTTTCGTCTAGGGTCTGAATTGGGCTCGGTCCGCTTTGAATTGCCGCGGAAATCGGGCGAATTCGACTTGAAGGATGAAGAGAGCCTATCGGTGGTGGCAGGTTCAGGCGAGCGGGTCGTGCCGGTGAAGCTCGGGAAGTTCAGGAATGTGGATGGTGGTGAAGGGAGTAGTAGCAGCATAAGCAGCAATGTGGACTCTAGGAGGTGCTTCTCAATGGGATCCTTTGCTTATGTGATGGATGAGGCTTCCACATTGCAAGTGCCGATCTCGACCCCGATGAAGAAGCAATCCAGCAAGAAGCCTCACTTGCCACTCACTCCGGGGCACCGGATGGCGATGTCAGAATGCGGGTCCGAGTCAAGGAGAGAGTTCATTGGCTTCGAAGCGATCAAGAATTTGAATCCCAATGGCAAAGTTAATAAGCCTCGAGAGAGGAATGAGAATGATGGCTCAGGCATCCGGAAAGAGAGCTTCTCCATATCGAAGATTTGGCTACGAGGGAAGAGGGACAAGGCAAACCACCAAGGGGCAGAGGACTCGTCAAGGCGCGCAGTGTCTTTCCGGTTTCCTGTTAACCGAAATGTGGCGGTGGGTGGGAGTGATTCGAAAGACAAAAAAGAAACTGGGGTTGAAATTGGGAGGTGGGAAAATGGAGGGAGTGAGTTGGGTCATGAAGAGGAGATTCAGAGCTGCAACAGTCTGGATTCTTTGGCTAACAATCCACCATCTTTTACGAGGAGGACTCTGCTTTGGCTCATGGGAAGACAGAACAAGGTTGTACACTCATCTTCCTCCCCAGTCGTCTAGTAGTCTTCTTGCAAATTCCCCATTCAAAATTTTCTGATTTTTAGCTTTTTTCCGCTTTGCTTCACTTTGATCTCTTCATTGTGGGAGGCTGAAAATTTGGAATTTGTCTCAAAGAGCTAAACAGAAGAAGAAGAAAGTTCCATTAAAACGATCTGAATACAGAATTTAGAGTTTCACTTCAAAAGAGGGTGTTTCTTTGGCCATATGAGTTACATGGAGTGTGATTTTGCTTTTGCTTTCAAGTCCTTTGCTTTTGCTTCCTCTGCTCTAGCTTGTTTACAGTATCAACCATTCTCAGACTGAATTAGATTGATTAGAGAATTCATACTTAGAGCTTGTTGCTTTAGAGGAAGACCGGGAATATATTCTATTGGATGGAAGAATCAGACCTTCTGCATCTGACAATAATCTTCTTTTTCTTTATAATGAATCATTGCCATCATCTTCCCATCTTAATAAGATCTGCAGAACATTTAACAATGTAAGAACTATATAATATAGACTGCCCATCAAGATCATTAAAGGCCCGTCATCTCTAAACTATATATCCCCATCAGTGGAGCACCGGCTGATGCCTCGGAACCCCATGTACTCACTAAAATAATCAAAATCGCTTTCAGATGTTGACAAAAGTTTAAAGGGTAATTTCACCACTTCCGTTTTGCTTTGAAGCATGTTATAGCAGCAAAACGTTTCTTGAAAGTTGCTTATAAGATGACCCGAGATCATTGAGCCGCTTTGATTGCGAATCAAACAAACCCAATCCCGTATGTTTGGCCTCGCGTTAATGAGCAAGCAGCGATCTAACTTCGCGATATCATCGAGCCATCAAGTAACTAAACTTCGGCAAATTCTCATCAACTACATGCTATACTGATAAACATTAAAGCGTTAGGTCGTGGAGTTATTCATGAGGTTATGTGGCACAATAAATGTGGAAGGAAGAGGGAATTCAAATTCAAATTGAAGTGCTACTGACAGATGAGCCTGAGTCTCATCTCCTTGCTCTTAATGGGTTTGATTTTGAGAGCTTACGAGAGTTGCCGAATGAAGGGCGAGCGTGGTTTGGCCAAAAGCTGAGGAGGAGGCCATTGAATGGAGTCATCATGGTCAGCATCAAAAAAGCATGGAGGGAGTGAAAGACATTAATGGCTGATGTTAATAAGATCACAGGAACAGTTGAGGGCCACTGTCATGGTGTTTATATAAGCGCCACCTAACTCACCTTTTGGTTTCATGTGATTGCCACTACTTTGAATTCTAATGTGACCCCTCCTTGCTTCTTCGAGAGATTGAATATTTCCTGGAAAAAGGAGTACGGTTGATCTTTTTTCCCCTTTAATCAAGGGGAAAAAAATTACTAGACTTGGTTTTTTGGAGGCTCATAGTGCGTTCGTTTTGTGGAAAAAAAGTTTTTTGAAAAATAATGACTTCACAAAAATAAATGAATGAAAATTTTTTTCGTCGCTCACGAAAATAGTTAAGTATAAATTGTTATTAATGATGAAAATGTTTTCTGTTGATTAATTTCTCTAAACGAAATAAGCAATCATTTTTCATCACTCAATTTCGGCGAAACGAACGCACCCTTAATATGCCTTATGCCCTTTTTTTTTTTTTTCCACGTGCATAGCGTAAGACTTCATCCATAACTAATACTAAAAAAAACTTTTGAACGTGCTCTACATGTGTATACAAGAGGGAAAAAGTGATCGAATCAAACAAATAGAAAAGACATTAGAGCGTCACAGAAGAAGTGATGCACAAGCCTACGATCGAACTCTTGATTTGTTTTTTGATATTGAGTTTTTTCATATTCTTGTCCCATAATTTTTTAGAAAACGGACAGACAATGCATAGTATGACACGTGTCGTCGAGATTGCTGATTCAAGCGAAGAGTAGACTTGCATCTTTGTCTTACTTCCCTTGTAAACTAGATGTTGTCAATTATGCCAAATCTTTATGCAGATTCATCCGAAAGCATGGACCTGAGCTCAAGCTTACACATGCATATGATGTCGCTTTGTACTTAAAACTTTTGTCGTTGTCCTATCCTACATGATGTTGGATAAGGTCATGCCAATCGTGGCAGACTTACATCGACCATGAGATAGGTTTTTTGGATTTTAAGGCCGGACAACAAAAATGAGGCTGGACTCCAAAGTCGACAGCTGATAAAATGCCTGCTTGGGAGGTTCTTATATCTATATTTTTATGTATATATGTTGAATTGGTTGGCAAAATAAAGATATTATTTTGATTTGTAAACAAAAATTATGAAAAAGTTTGAGGTGATTCTAAATGCTAAGGTTTATCTTTTTGAGAAAAAAATTGATATTTTGGGTTTATTTGTTTGTCGGAAAATGAACGATTTGGAAGATATTTTCCTAAATATGATAGATTTTTTTCTCTTATAAACATGAATGAATGAAAAACATTTTTATTGTCGGCGAAAATGTTTTGTAATAAATTATTATCAATAATATAAATATTTTTTATTAGTTAATTATTCCAAGCGATATAACCAATCATTTTTAGATTACATTGACTATGAGATAGGTTTTTTGGATTTTAAGACCAGATAACAAAAATGAGGCTAAACTCCAAAGTCGACCACTGATAAAATGCCTATTTGGAGGGTTCTTATTTCTATATTTTTATGTATACATGTTGAATTCATTGGCAAATTAAATATACTATTTTGATTTGTAAAAAAATTATGAAAATTTTTGAGGTGATTCTAAATGCGGGCAAACACCACAAAAAACCCCAAATTATGCCGATAGTAATGCACATATCCCAAACTTTTTTTTGTGTCATCAGAAACCGTAAACCTGCCTATTCTGACAAAAATACCCTAAATTTTTTTTGTGTCAAGAAAAAACCCAAATCTATACATGTGTGACATATATAACCTCTTTCAATAAAAAAAATGACATATGTAACCTCCATTTCAATTACATCCAAGGTATGTTTGTTACACTTATAAGTTCGGGATTTTTTATGATACAAAAAAAGTTTGGAGTATCTGTGTCACAATAGACAAGTTTATGGTTTTTAAAGACACAAAAAAGTACGGGCTATTTGTGTCACAATGGGTATAGTTTGACGTTTTTTATGGTATTAACTCTTCTAAATGCTAAGGCTTACCTTTCCGAGAAAAAAATTGATATTTTATGTAGATATAGTCACACGTTTAATGTCAAAACTAAAATCAAAAGCTAATAAATTCAAAAGTGAAACGGGAAGTCGTGAGTTTAGCATTAGCTCTTCGATTAATCTGGTTTTTTGAACATGAATTCCATTTTTATTTCCATTTGGAAATGGAAACAGTTTATAAAATGCATTTTACAACACTATGAAATGTTTTTCAAGCAAAATTTTAGTACAGTTTTTTTTTCTTCCTAATGAAAGTCTCTTTTGATTATATTTAACGAAAGACAAGTCGGTTTGCTCTTTAAAAAGAGAAGAGTCTTTCCAAGGAATCTAGGAATCTAAGACTTATTTAAAGCCTATTTGGTAAAGTTGTAATTATGTTATTGTTGCATTCTGAAGTATTGCGACTTGTTTGTTTGGCAATACATGCTTTAAAACTACGATGCAATGAAACTTACAGAGTGGTGTAACATTGTAAAAATTGCTATGAACTTTGGAGTTCTATAATTATGCATTGTTTTTCGATAATCAAGAATCGATAGTAAAGTTAGAAAACAACGCTAATTAGCACATTTTTAATTCGTTTGCATTATAAGTTCCAAAAAAAAAATTCGTTTGCATTATCACGTGTCATTATCAATATCAAGTGATGTAATCTTCACATGAAATGCTTTTCCAGAGGCCTTGATCTTTAAACTCATTTTTATTATGAAATGACAAATAAGTAAGCATGACAAAAGCACTAATCATTTTATTATGAAGGATATACATGTTAGCTTGATAGATCTCGAGTAATTACTTAAGCAATAATTAATGATCAATATATATTTTGCCCGGATGGACAATTCAAGCTCAGCATTAATGTCCTCCAGGGCAATTTTGTCAAATATATGATTGAATTCATATGATTCCACGTAAAAATCTCTATCGATTGCCTCTTGAGTTAGGTAATGCAATTTGTTTCACCTACGCTCCCGATTTAACTTTTTCGTCTCTATCGTTGCTCTAGAGATCGAGGTTTCGAGTCTCGATTATTTCCCCCCTAGACATCATGTGGCGTTGTCGCTAATGTTGGGTTGGCATAGACAATTGTCAAGTGGACATCTTTTCATGGGACAAATCTTAATGTAATCTAGACATGGTGGGTCAGTTAAATAATGAAAGAAAGAAACATTAAAGAAGAGCTTAGTGCATATTAAGCTCACTTGGGCTCAGAATTGTTCTACTTGAAATTTTTATTATTTACAAAAGGTCCACTTGTACATACTCGGCCCATCTTGCAGTTTCAATCATCATTATTATTTTTTAATTTTTTTCTAGACGCAACCCAATTAATGTTAATGTTGGCTAATAAGTATAAATATTAGGATTATGAATTTTACGAATATCATCTTTTTTTTTTTGGGGGAAATTATGTTGCTCAAGAAATATACTTCATCCTTTAAGATGCCAATGTAGGTGGGTGGCTTCCAAGAACAATGTGGGGTGCTTTTTCTTGATAACTGCAAAAGAGGGATGGACCATGAATGTGGAAGAAAGCAATAGAAAATCACATGCTATGCACATGCCAACAATTTATGTGAGCTTTCCAGATACACACATGGCCTCAGATCACATGCACATCGATTGATGTTTGCGAAATTAATTATATTGTTATTCTATTTTATTTCTTTTCGGATTGACGACAAGCTAGGGACAAATTCAGAAATAATGACAATAATTTAGCCAACAAAAGAAGAAAACAGAATGAAGAATTTTTACTATTTGGGTTTATTTAGTTAATTTCAGAACATCAACGAGGTAAACATGTATATATATCCATAACTGGGCCTGGTCCAGTCTCGCCTGCATATAGACTAATATATACACTGGACCAATTAGGGACCGACTTGGTCACGAGCCACACAATTCACACTCCTTTCTCCTATTCTTTGTCTGGTGGAGCTATTCCCAGACAGCCTGAGAGCTGAGTGAGGATCTTATCTGATTTGAGATGCTCTTTTTCCTTCCAAAGCGAAATAATCACTCCTCTAGCTTATTGCGTTC